TTCCTATCGTGCGATGTCATTGATCTCAAAGTTTGAACTTTATCATTACATTCTCTCGCAGATAGTGAGGACACGAGCTGCAGTTACTGATGACGTTACCCCCGGAGCAGATGTCGCTAGGGGTAGAGGCAGAGGCCGACGAGGAGCACGTGCCGTAGCTAGGGCACCTACCAGAGTAGCAGTTGAAAAGCCGCCAGTAGTTCCAGTTGGGGGGAGGTACCGGAGGCACCTGCAGTTACTCCCGGACTTCAGGAGACCTTAGCACAGTTCCTGAGCATGTTTGGTACCTTGGCTCAGGCGGGGTTGATTCCGGTTGCACCAGCTATTTCATAGATCGGGGGAGGAGCTCAGACTTCCGGCGCCCATACTCCAGAGCAGTGAGTTCATGTTTTTCAGGTTCCAGGTGTCATGGCGACACAGCCCGTGGTTCCAGATTAGCCCGTGGTTAGGGCAACAACATTTGAGGAAGAATAACTTAGACTTGAGAGGTACAAGAAGTACCACCCTCCTACCTTCAGTGGATTGACGACAGATGATGCCTTGGGTTTCCTGGAGGAGTGTCACCGCATTCTTCGTACTATGGGTATTGTGGAGACGAGCAGGGTTACTTTTGTTACGTTCCAGCTCAGGGGAGCGACTTATCAGTGGTGGCGGAAGTATGAGTTGGGTAGCACGGCTCAGTCAGCTTCACTTACATGGGTTCAATTTTGAGAGATGTTCCTAATAGAGTTTGTACCTCAGTCCCTTCGAGATGCATGGCGCGCGGAGTTTGAGCAGCCGCGCCAGGGCACTATGTCGATATCAGAGTACGCCGTTAGATTCAGTGATTTGTCCAGACATGCACCTGCTTTGGTCGTTACAGTTAGAGAGCATGTTTGTAGATTCATTGAGGGGCCAGGCATGATATTCGGTTCAGCATGGATCGGGAGTTAGAGTCGGATGTTTTGTTTTAGCAGGTGGTAGGGATCGCTCGCCGAGTGGAGGAAAAATGGGATCATGAGAGAGAGGACAAGGAGGCTAGGAGGCCTCGTAGACAGAAGAGATCTCTTGGTCCTTATTTTGGCGGCAGGGTACGGTATGGTAGAGGTTTTGTGAGTCAGCCAGTTCAATTTGCACTTCAGGCTTCGCACGGTATTTCAGGTACTCATGGGTCTTAAAGTACCCATACCGCACAGTTCCCACAGCCATATCAGAAGAGGGGTTGCTTTGAGTATGGAGATACCAGCCACATGGTGAGAGATTATCCCAGACTCCGGACAGATATGTCACAGCGGGGTATTCAAGCGAGTAGAGGGCACCCAAGAGGGGGAGGCCTGACCCGTTGATGTGTTTCATATAGTAGGCTTGAGGCCATTGTGCCAGATGATCTCATACAAGCATGCTTTTGATTTGTTACAGAGGGGCACCATTCATATTTTGTTTCGGTTCTGCTTATCAGGGATAGTTCCCTTATTTGTTTCTTCATTTATGGGTGAGTTTCATGATTAGTACTCTACTTATGTGTTTACCCCTGTTGGGAGATTCTATGAGTGGTAGCCCATGTCTATCGTTTCTTTTTATTCATTATTGAGAGTTATGAGGCTAGAAGTGAATTCTTGTTGTCCACTATGGTAGGTTTGATGTGATTCCTAAGTAATTTGGTTACGATTTGTGATTTGATACTCTTCCGGGGTGAGAGTTTAGTAAGTATTGTGATTTTATTTGCAGAATTGAGTTGGTGGAAGATTTCTATTGGTATGATGTGTATTCGACTTGTGATCCAGAGTTGAGGGTGGAAGATTTGATATGTATGAGTCAGGCTGCGTGCCGCGGTGGAAGTTATATCAGGATGAGATCCTTGTGATTTGTTTATATAATTTAATTTTTCCTTTTAAATCGATTTGCAAGATGGTACTCATAGAGAGTTGTGCATGTCGGGCTTGTTTGATATTTCTCTTATGTGTTTCTCTTTACATATTCAGTCATTTTCGTTCTGTACTTCTTGAGTTTTAGCTTGCGGGGTGTGTGCCCGGTTGTGTTAGTTGTGTCTTGTTGATTTGGGAGTATATTTAAGAGTTCTTCATGTTTCTTGCATCGTTGTCAGTGTTGTGGAGGTTTGAAACAGGGTTCTAACGGATATGAGGCTAATTGTCGGTGCTGATTTTGATTACGGGCAACTATTATGATCAGAAATGTTATTATGGGCCTATGTGTGGCATGTCATGTTGAGTGGTCGTACCTTGTGGGTATATGCATGAGTTGTTGCAGCTGGTTGAGACTGATACCGGGTATGAATTTAGAATCGCGTCTTTTGGAGATGAACGGAAGGTGAGAATTTTGACTCTAAGGCTTATCAGTATTTGTCGAAAGGATAAATTACAGATGAGATGGTGTCGTCAGGCTTATGTGGATTGGGGTGACGTGGGGTCACCCGCGGGTGTATGTTGGATATGTGCATTTAGTGATTTGAAGACTTCGAGGCGATTCTTGGCACGTTCGAGGACGAACGTTTGTTTAAGAGGGGGAGGATGTAACGACCCGGCCGGTTGTTTTGAGAATTTAAGTCACGTTCGGCAGTATAAGGTCTTGAGCAGCTTCGTATTATGTGTATTGACTTGCGTGCGTGGTTGAATTTAGTTACCGGACGATTCAGAGTCAAAATCGGAAGGAGGATTCAAGTTTTGGAAGCTTAAGTGGTAAGAGTTGACCGAAATTTGACTTTTGTGTAAACGACTTCGGAATGGGTTTAGGATGATTTCAACAGCTTAGAATGGTGATTTTGGACTGTTATTATATAGTATTTCCTTTCTTGTTGAGCTATTCTTATTATGACTAGCATTCTCTATTGTGCCTACTCATTGTGAATTAGTTCCTCCGTTTCTTTGAGTTCTGGAATCTCTGAGTTGACTTATTTGTCGTACTCTTGTATTATTGTCATTGTTGTTGTTGTACTAGTTGTTATGATGCACAAGGTTTCTGCTGTGCGGTTGTTATTATTGTGATGCACGAGGTTTCTGCCGTGTTATTATTGTTATTGTGATGCACGAGATTTCTACCGTGCAAGTGTTATTGGGTTGCACGAGGTTTTTGTCGTGCTATTGTTAATATTGATAATTGCACATGCGGCGTGACAAGGCTGGCTATATATATGTGGGTTGCGCATATGGCGAGACAACATAGGAACATTATTATGCACGTGTGGCGAGACAAGGCGGACATTCACTTTACTATTGCACAAGTGGCGAGACAAGGTGGACTGTGTCAGGGATTGATTTGCGATAACTTGTGATGGCCTGGGGGCATTCTTGTTGTTGATATTTGTGTAATGGTGCACTTACCTATGTGAGCTTTATCTTGTGGAGTTGTGGAAAAACATTCTACGTGATGTCCATTTCTTTTCCTATACTTACTAGCTGGCAGGAACTATGTTAGGACACTTGCACAAGCATATACATAGTTAAACAGTCTTATCGGTTAAGAGATTTTCTTGATATTGTTGAGTATAGATGCACACCCTTGTTTACTTGCCTTATATGTGAGAATGACTCTATTTGACATGTGAGTCGTCAGTGCGGTTATAAATTTGTAATGAAAGCATAGGATGCTAAGTGTTAAGGTCCAGAAATTGGGACCCGTGAGTTGTGAATATTCTGAGATTCGGTGCCTCGTGGAGTTTAGTTTATTGGCTAAAACCCAGTGTGAAAGCGATCGTTTTGTTGAGTTGTTATTTGCCTTTTATTTATTTGTGATCACCAGATTTAGACCGTATTTTCGTACATCTACTGTGTCATTATTATGGTATTCCGCTGATAGTTATTATTTTCCTTTCTTACTGCAACTACCGTATTATTTGCCATTTCACGTAGTCTTTATGTAGATATCATACTTTGTTGTTCCTAGGCTTATACTTGTTCAGGTTATTTAGTCCAGCAAGTGTCTTGACTGTCCATCGTCACTACTCCACTGAGGTTAGTCTTGATACTTGTTGGGTACCGCTATGGTGTACTCATACTACACTTCTGCATATTTTTGTACAGATCCAGGTATTTCAAAGTCAGTTGCTCATTAGCTAGCTGCGCGGATTGTTGCTCTGGAGACTCAAGGTAAACTTGTTGTTGCATTCACAGGCTTCAGAGTCACCTTCTTATTTTGTATTCACACTGTTTTACCTATTTCCATACATTTGTATTTAGAAATTATAGCAGACTCTGTAGAGCTTATGACTTGTACTAACGGTTTTGAGAATTGTAAATTTTATAGAGATTTCTATTTTAAAAATNATATATATATAACATAATACAATTTACTACAATTTCGTAAGTATATTGTAGGTCATGCCGTCTTCTTCTTCTTCTTCTTCTTCTTTTTTTTTCAATCTGAAATTCCGCCAAAATCAAGTCTAATCTTCACCAAATACCCTCAAATTTGAGATATAAACTCCAAACAATATTCCCAATTATTTGCAACAACACTCAATCCAAACAAGTAATGGTTTTTGAAAACCCAAATTAAAATTCAAAGCTTCAAAGCTTTTTAATGACTGTCAGTGGTGGAGAGTCAAACACTTTCAAAATTTATTGATTGATAATTTCAATTTGAACACAATTATGCAACATGAAAGGGAATTGCTAAGTTAAAACTCTATAGTAAAACAATTGAAATTCATTGATGAATTCTATTAAAAATATATACAACATGAAAGGATAAAAAATAGAGAATATAAGAGGAAGAAAAATTGGGGAAAGAATAGATAATGAGAGATTGAGAGATTGAGAGAGACGCAGAGATAGAGAGCGCGCAGGAGAGCGAGACGAAGAGAGAGAGAGAGCGCACGAGGGAGAGAATAAGGATGAGAAATAATTGATTCCTTATTCAATTATTAATATAAAAGAATACTCATTAAATTTCTAAAATGTATATAATTGGTAATTTGTATGGGTAGGAGGATAATAAAATTTCAAAAATAGTGTATATACATTGAAACCCCTAAAGTAAAGTTGCCCACTAAGAGATTTTGAGGAGTGCTGATTGCTGCAGAAGGATAGTAAAAGATAGAAAGTCCAAACTCGTTTCGTATCATAGCCTAAAACGGTTTTCATCTCGCGCAGCAAAAATCGACTTCACCGAGCTACCAACACTTCACAAATCATCTATAATATATATATTAATAGATTACTTTTAGAGACATACTATCAAGTTATCTTTTCTCTCTGCATAGTTGTCTACAGGGAAGTAGCGTTCAAGATGAGTTACAACAACGATCCGTAAGTCTCCTCTTCTTTTCTTTTTTGAATCGTGATAACAAAGGATTAGGTTTCAATCGTTTCGCTTTGATTTCAATCGTTGTGGTTTTCTTTTGGTGTTTTTTTTTTCTTTTTGCTATGAGATGAATTGGAGTTTCTGATGATGAAATTGATGGGGATTTTTGGTCGGTCTGAGTCGTCTTTGGATGACCCATTTTGGTGATAAGTTTAATTAGTTTTTATCTGATGATGAATTGATCCAGATTTGTCTGTTTATTTGTGGTCTTTCGTATTTTTGGATGACCCAATTTGACGATGAGGTGAATTAGGTTTCTGATCATTGAATTGATTGGTAAATTTGTGGATTTTTGTGCTGTTTTCCTGTGATTCTGTATTATATCGATTTTGGATGACCCTTTTTGGTGTGATGAGTTGAATTAGGGTTTCCAATAATGAATTCATTGCTATTCTTGTGGATCTTTTTGCTTTGAAGAAGAGCTAATTGTGGTATCTAATGATGATTTTATCTGGAAACTTTTTGGATATTTGTGATCTTTTGTGGGCATGTCTAGTTTTGAATGACCCTTTTGGAGGATGAGTTGAATTGGGTTACAGATGGTGAATTAATGTGGATTTTTTAATCATTCAGGTACGTAGATGAGGAAGGAGAGGCGTTGGTAGACTTTGATGAGGATGTCCGATCTGATCACGAGCAACAGGAACACTTCCTTGGCGACAATCTGGACGATGACGATGCATGGAATCAGAGACAGCGTGAACGGTCACCTACCCCAGTGTATGATGATCCTAACAAACCTAAGCCCAGGAAGCGGTTGATTAAGAAAACTTCGGCTAGAGAGAGCACACCAGATATTGGCATAGGGGATGAGGATGCTTATGGCGGTGCTGCTGATGATGACATGGCTGGCATCGTGCGTGATGAGTCGGACGACGGCGGTGGGAAGAGGAAGAGGTTTGGTATGGAGTTTAGTGAAGAGAAAAGGAAGGAGAAGAAGAGGAGAGACAAAGGCGAGAAGAAGTTTAAGTTGAGGAGAAATGGGGGTTATGCTGGAGGAAGCAGGTTGAAGGAGCAGGAGGGTGATCAGGAGATGAAGGAGATGTGGGATACCATTGCTGGTGGTGACTCTGAGGTTATTGACCTATCATTTCTGTTGTTATCATCTTTTCGTTTTTGGGATTCCTGACTAAAAAAATTGAGTTATTGAAGTTCCTTGCCCGGAAAAAAGTTATTGATATTGCTAGTTTAGTCTGTATGAGTTACTAGAGTTGAATGTGTTTAGTTTTAATGACATGTTTCTGATGTCTTTGTTTTCAAATGTGTAGGATGACCGAGAAGGTCCGAAGACATTGGATGATGATAACTTCATTGATGATAGTGGTGTGGATCCAGCTGACAGGTATGGAAGTGACAATGAACCACGGTCTCCCAGCAGTGCACCACAGGTAGAGTTTTGTCCTTATAGTTCGTTCCTGCTATATTTTTCATCCTCACTTCCCAATATTGCAGTTTCCTTATGCATGAGGGTTTGTAAATTTCAATAGAAAGCGTGCTGGTTTTCAGATTTCTTGCTTTTGTCTGAGCGCGTCAGCGCCTGTGAAGCCAATTGGTGATGTTGATGTCATATTTGTTCTAATTTGACCCTTTTCAGGCTGAAGAAGGGGAAGAGGATGACGAAATCAAGAAGCTCTTCAAGGGAGGCAAGAAGAAAAAGAAAACTGAAAAGAGTGCAGCAGAAATTGCATTGCTAGTAGAGAATGTTATGGCTGAGCTTGAAGTTGTTGCTGAAGAGGACGCGGAACTGAATAGACAGTCTAAACCTGCTATAAATAAACTAAAAAAGCTTCCTCTTCTCATAGACGTCCTATCAAAGTGAGTGAGTTTGTCATTTTGTTTTTTGTGGTAGTAACTGAATTTGTCTTTTTGGAGGCTAATATTTCTAGACTCACACTTCCAAATTCAATTTGCAGGAAGCAACTTCAGCAAGAATTTTTAGATCATGGAGTATTGACTCTTTTGAGGACTTGGCTTGAGCCCCTTCCAGATGGAAGCCTGCCTAATATAAACATTCGTGCTGCAATCCTAAAGATCCTTACTGATGTATGAACGTGGTTTCTAGATTCAAGTTAGTCTTTTGTTCGTTTGCCGTAATGTTATTTGATTAATATGCTTCATGGTGATCCTGTAGTATCCTATTGATCTTGAGCAGTATGATAGAAGAGAGCAGTTGAAAAAGAGTGGTCTTGGAAAGGTACCTTTCACGTAGAAGTGGTAATGTAATAGCTTTCACGGAGGCATAATGTTGAGACTTATTGTCTTCTTGCTTGTTTTGTAGGTTATTATGTTCCTCTCAAAGTCAGATGAGGAGACTACAGCTAACAGGAAACTTGCTAAGGATTTGGTTGACAAATGGGTAAGTTGGATTTAACTATTCTTCCCCTTTCATGAACGGAAATATAAAAGGAGGGATTCTGTATTGGTACTTACCACACTCCACACGTGCTGGAGTGTGAATAATCTTTTGGCTGCTAAAATGCTGAGTTCATTTTCTAGTTCGTCACTGTATCTGGAGAATATGTTCCAGACGTGCAACATCTTTTCGGCTTTTGTAATTCAGCTATATCATTCTCCTTTTATGGGGAGGTTGGAGAACTGCATCATGCATTTGGTAGTTCGAAACAAAATGGTTTAAAAGATTTTATTTCTTTTTGGATAGGTAATGTCTTTTTAATAGATTAATCCTTATATATTGATTTTTACAAGAGGGTATCTACTTACTGGAAATTTTCCACCTAAGAACACAATCAATTATTATCTTCTTGCACATATGTTATTGATTTTCTTATACTTTCGAGGAACTCTTTTAGCTTCTTTCGATCATCACCTTAATAGCATCATGGCCCTCAACTATACTTTTGTTCCTACACTCTCTAGTATATGTTGGTTATGATTATGGTTTGTCTGTGGTTCTCCTTTGTCTGGTTTGTGGAGTTCATTTAAGTACCTGGTGTACTGAATAGGTGCTTACGAATGTGTAAAAACACTGAAATTTGGTTGTGTTTGATCCAGAGTCGACCAATATTCAACAAGAGTACAAGGTTTGAAGACATGAGAAACTTTGAAGATGAGAGAGCTGCTCAATTTAGGCGGCCTTCCTTGAAAAAGTATCTAATATTTTCGGTTCTTCTATCGGTCTTTATATCAGTTGTCTAAGAAGTCCGAATCTTTACCATCTATGACTATATTTTCTATCTTGTCACAGACCCATGAATAAAGCTTCAGGAGTGGAATCCAGAGACGATGACCTTGACTTGGCTGGATTTTCACAGTAAGATGTTCTGTCTTTGCACCTTTTGATCCTAGCATCTTTGAATTGGTCCTTATTCTTCTCGAGGTTTAATATGCTTGTAAATCTGCAGGGGCCAAAAGTCTGGTCCGTCATCTTCCAGGCAACTTACATCAAGGCCTGAAGCAATGTCAATGGATTTTCTGGTGCGTCCACAATCTAAGATTGATCCTGAAGAAGTTAGGGCAAGGGCTAAAGCAATGGTTCAAGACCAGCGCCGAATGAAGGTGTGTCCCTCTTTCTAAGTAAATTTATATTTATATTATGTTCTTCATTTCACTCTCGTCCATCTTGGCACTAGAGATAATTAAGAACAAATGGATTTTTGATGCCTTTTAAATGAAATTTCTTGCTTCATCGAAAAAAAAAGCAACAAAAGGGGGATGCTTTTAATGATGAATCTGCCGATCTCCTTCCCAGAGGAGCCAGTAATAGCTTTCTACTTGAAAAATGAAGTGCTCAATTTGTTTTTTAGTGGTCATTTTGGTAAAGCAGCTATCCACTTAATTAAAATATTCTTGTGAAATCCGTTAATTTGGAGGAAATGATGTAATACTGGAGCCTCTGCCAGTCTTGATTTCATTTTTTTGGGCGATGAACTGATATTTATAATCTTACGTACTCTTAATCTCATTGAAATGGGGTTTATGGCGCGAGATAACCCTATATTTTCTCCTTTTTGAGTATAACTATTTTAATCTGTGGAAGTTAACTTCGTTATGATGTTATTGCTTTTGCTGCTATTAGGAATTGCTTTTCATCTAACACTGAACTATTGGCTATGTTCATGGCAGATGAATAAGAAACTGCAGCAGTTAAAAGCTCCAAAAAAGAAGAAACTCCAAGCTACGAAACTCAGCGTGGAGGGTCGTGGCATGGTGAAGTACCTCTAGGCTCTAGTTATTGTGCTCACCCTTCTTATTAGGGTAGAACAGCCTGTTGGCTCAGCTATGCAACAGTTTCATGCACTTGAAGATGGGTGTTCTGTTCTTAGGAGGATGTCATCTTCCATGTAATATGTTGGCATGTCAGCCAAATACCAAATTTAGGTAAGGTGGCTGAAACCCATTATATTTCATATCTCAGGTTCAACAAATAATGTTCCAAGTCATTGGTGTAATGAAAGTCGTGGCTGTTACTATGAGTTATGCAACTTGGTATACATAACTGCCGTTTGGGATGTATTAGGTTGTCTCCCTGTATCTCTTTTGCCCAGGGGTTCTTCCCGTTCATTTGCTTTTACAAGTATTCCCCATTGTAATCAAAGTTCCAGAGCTAAACGATTTCATCAGAATAATTACAAATCTATGACCTTGACATGTAAACTCTTGACATGTAATTTTGCTAACTAGCACAATATTTGATTTGTAAAATAAACGCTGCATTGCTAATGTAATCAATGAATATAGCTACTACATATATATTTATTTTCACTGTAAAACTCTATACAAACATGTCTAATACAATGTTTGGATTTAAATATCAGTGTAACTTACGTGAGAATCCTTGTATAATTATTGCACTATAAAATGTGAAGTGAAAATAATTATACGTGTATTAATTGTACTTATATACGAGCACAGAGTATCTAAAGATATAATACTCTTACAATACGCAATCTCTACCTAACAATCCATGTATTATTAGTTGCAATATAACAATTCTTATATTATTGTTCACTATGCAGTGTTACATAATGACTTATAATACAAGGATTTTTATGCCGAATAACCTACTTTAATGGCATTTGGATACTCTTCTCCATGTATTGCTAACACAGGTGTTTTTGCACTACAATCTATTCCGTATACAATAATAGATGCATTTTTACATAACTTGTGGTATAATAGCAATCAAAAGTAAATACTGCAAACCAAACATTGAATTAGTACATACTATAAATCAAACTTCTTATTAATTACGTTGCAACCTAAAAGTTGTACTTAGTTATGTGAAATTTAATGCTTGAGATTATATTTTCTCATGCGTCTAACCAAACGGTTCTCACTATATTATGATTCAATGTATAGCTTATGGATTATAACTCCTGCATTTTGTTTATGGTCAGCCCTTGACCTCCTAAACTCACATGGAGTGACCAACTCTTTGAAGTTGGAGTGTCGCACAAAAAAGAGTCTAACTCGTGAATAAAATGGATTGTTAATGGTTTCAATTCTTCTTCTTTTTCCTATTCAATTCTAATAAAATATGCCCCCCTCTTCTTTGTGTGTGTGTGTGTGTTTTGGAGAAAATGAAGTTTCCAGCAAAGTGCTATGATAGCATTGCTACTAAACATTAAGCAGCCTCTCAAATTGGAATACTGACCTGGCAGTTCATCTATAAAATAATATTCTCTTGTCAAAACTTCAATAATAGGAGGCTATTAGATGTCACATAAACAACTTATTTTGTCACTTCTTATTAAAATGTTATCCTCTAACATTTCAAGACTAAACACTCACTTGTTTTGTTAGTCAATATTATGAGTAAATCATTGTTATTTTAGAGGAATAGAGAAGAAAAGTATATTACTACAACATATAAATAAACTTATGCGTGCAAAATTGAATCCTATTAGCTCATGATTTTTTATGTTAGCAGTTCTTCTTTTTTTTTTTAATTTATAAAAAAAACCTTCTTTTAGGGGATTTAATTGGCTAACTTCCAATACGAATCAATTAATGACATGCCAACTATTTGTTCAAAGGTGAAATTCATTTTTGAAATTAAAAAAGAAAAAAAATAAGGTCATAGTCATTTTTGTTATAAGAAAAATCAAATTATGGTGGATGTCTACTCTTCCTTCATGATCTTGTCAAATGCTTAATGACATATTCAATGACATATTTCAATGCTTAATGACATATTCAATGACATATTTCAATGCTTAATGACATATTCAATGACATATTTCTCTTCACTTTTCATGCCTATATAAAGGCTTTGTAATAGATAGGAAAATACACACAATTGAAGAAGAAATAAAAATCTCTCATCTCTTTCTCTCTATATCTCTTAGCTTGTTTTTTCTTGTTCTATATTGTTACTTTGAGTTATATTTCATAACACATTATCAGCACGAAGTCTCTAACCTCAAGGTTGAATTCTACTTATGTATTACATGCACGTCTTTCTGCTACAACAACAAGTCCGAACTTTAAACCATATAAGTTTATACCAATATTTGGAATAAGCAATGGCCCGGTTATTAGAAAATTAGTATTTATGTGGCTGCTAAGGATGTCACCTTGTTAAATTTTCATGAACTAAATAATAGATGACATGCGGTATACTAAATAATCTACAAAATTAAAATTATACTTTATTATGTATGCTTATGGTTTTATCTTATAATACGATTTTAGTATGCCTAGTATAATGATTATACATTAGCTTACTGCCAAATATAATAATATAATGATAATAATACTCGTAACTATTTTATTTTAATAAGATAAAATATTAGTACAAGAAGTATGTACTACACCAAATTTTTCATTGATGATAGTTCTTATCAAATTAACATGTTGAATCATTTCTATATGGAAAACATATAGTAGTAGATAAATGCTATATCTCTTTATTTTTCTAGAGAGCATAATACTTAATTTCCACAAAAGTACATGGTAACTAGTAGTACTATATTATTCTATTTGATACATTATTTTTCTTTAATATTTTGGTCATATCACTTTCATCTTGAAATAAACTTATTGCAGCAAAGACCACATGTGAATTTTCAATATTATTTTTTATTTTCATATATCTCTTTGACACTAATTACTTAGCTGATTTGAGTAAATGAAAGTCTATTGTTGAGAATTATATCCAAATGACATTATGAAGAGTTTAACTCAAGAGGTAAGCATTTTCTTCGTATTTGAAATTGTTTTTTGTCCTTTGCTATTAATGATATCAACTTCAATGAGTTCAAGTCTCAATGCACCATGATGGTAAGACATCAGGATCAAGTCCTGATGCTCCATGATGATAAGAGTTCGGTTTGAATCCCAATTCATTATGGCCTAACATGCCTTTATGTTTGAGTCTCACTGTACCATATTGATGATATAATGATGACTAAAGAAAAATAATATATATTTCATGAAAATGCATGAATATTGCCCCACTTGATTTGCTCCGTGAATGTGGTAGCGACGCATAATAAGTCTAAATGGATCAAGTCCTGATACTCCATGATGATAAGAGTTGGGTTTGAGTCCCAATTCATTATGGCCTAACATGCCTTTACTAACATGCCTTTATGTTCTCTTTCCATGTGGACTGTTTACTATTATATGATTTTAATAGATGTATCTATTCTTTAGTCACATGTGCATTTGTTATCAACTTGCAGTTTGGCTTTTGCAAGATTGATTGCTCAAATTATTAGAGCACAGTTCCAGAATATAAATTATGATGATTTATCTTGATAATACTGGCTTAAATCCAAGTTGGTTTAGCAGAAATTGTATGCCTCCAATTATATCTAAACCATTGATTATGAGAACAAAACTGCCAAAATAAAATTGGTATGTGATGTATTATTTAATATACAACAGCACTTGTACGCATCTAGCCAAGTTATGATAAGTTTTCCCTATCACAATCAGTTCAGGGTCAGGAACCAAATAATTTCCATCTAGAAATATGAATGTGCTATATGTTTTAATTGTTCCACCACAATGCACAAAGATGGATCCCTAAATAAGGCTAGGGATATGTTTTGGTGATCCCAACAATAGGGGGAGAAAAGTGGCGGCTAAAAAAGTAATGCATGTAATGAATTATTATGAGTACATCTAGATCCTCGTACGAGAAAATATGAACTTGAAGTTCAAGTGATAATTCATTTGCAAAATATTATCAGTCGTATTTGCTGACCCAAAGCTAAATGTCATATTCAGCTACTAATGCTCCAAATAAAATAAAGTTCATAATGAATAGAGTCTATGGCATGCATGAAGCATAATAGACTAATCGGTTCCAAAGATAAAACTCCTTGAAGAAGGAGAGGAGCAAATGTTCAAGATGGTCATAATAAGGAGGCAAGTGCTCTAGAAGAGCACCACGACATAACACTTCATAAGACCTCATGGGAGAGGCTCAGGTACCTGAAAATAATAAGATAAAGAGATCTCAATAAGTTATGTCTTTATTGGGTAATAGTAGAACCGATATAAAATGATCGTCGACGATATTGTTAATATAATGTAGCGCTCAATATTATTAATATTGACGAGGATCTTGAGCTCAAATCTGTCATAAAATTTGGACAGATAAATGATTGGCCAAATGAAAAATACGCAATGAAAATTAATTTCACCTGAAAAATATGAAGTTTGACGGATAGTCCCAACACCTGAAAGTATAAAGCCAGTGGAGGTATAAATGTATTCTTGTGCGAAACAAAAAGGTCAAGTCGATAGACATAAAGACGACTTGTGTCACAAGAAGATTTGTAAATATCCTGGCATTGATTATATAGAGACATGTTCTCCTATGGTGGATATTGCCATTTCAAGTTTTAATCTTGCAATACAAGAAAAACGTGATATGCGTATAATGGAAATCATTGAAGGATTTAAATTGTTCTAAAATATATTAAGGTTTTCAAGAAATTTATTAAATAAAGCTTCAAAAATCCTTATACGGATTGAAACAATTAAGGCGCATGTGGTATAATCGCCTGAGCGAGTACCTGTTGAAAGAAGGGTACAAGAATGATTCAATTTGTCCTTATGTCTTTATAAAAAGATCTGGATCTAAATTTGTTATAATCACAGTGTATGTTGATGATTTAAATATCATTGGAACTCCTATGGAGCTTCCTAAAGCAGTAGAGCTTCCTAAAGTAGTAGACTATTTAAAGAAAAAATTTGAAATGAAAGATCTTGGAAAGACAAAATTTTGTCTTGGTCTATAAATTGAGTATATGAAAGATGAAATTTTTGTCCATCAATCAACATACACTAAATTTTTTTTAAAGCGATTCTATATGGATAAAGCACATCCAATCCTACCTCATGAAAATAACGAAAAGCTTCTTGGTCCCGAAGTACCATATCTTAGTGCAATTGGTGCACTAATGTATCTTTCTAACATTACAAGGTCTGCCATAACTTTTTCAGTTAATGTCTTAACAAGATATAGCTTTGCTCCTACAAGGAGACATTGGAATGGAATCAAACACATATTGCAGTATCTAAAAGGGACTACCGATATGGGATTATTTTATGGTAATGATTACAGTCCCGATCTTGTTGGTTATGCCGATACTGGGTATTTATCTGACCCACACAAGGGTCGATCTCAAACAGGCTATGTGTTTACATATGGAGGCACTGCCATATCTTGGCGATCGACTAAGCAATCAATCGTGGCTACTTCATCTAA